TNTTAGGCAAAGTGTACAAATGTCTCTCGCGACAATCAGGTTTGGCAGACAGATAGTCATATTGTTTCTGTTTGAGATACTAGTTTTGACTAAATCGGCAAGAATATTATTAATCATGTTAGCAGTTTCTTTGAAAATTGGTTTCGGTAAAATGGCATAATGTTTAGGATTATTCAGTTGATTCTCTGCTTCTGAAACGTAATCCTCCCTATTCAGAATGACACAACATGAACCTTTGTCACTCTTTTTAATAACAATGCTATCGTCTTTCTTAAGTAAGTTTAACGCTTCACGTTCCACTCGTGTGAGATTAGGCTTTTCGTGTGTTATGGAAAGGTTCACTGTTTGACTATTCATACTAGCAAATGCTTTCAATATTTCAGAATGGATGGCGGCCTGAGGGGGTGTCCACGTGGATTTAGGAATAAACATTGTTCTAGCACCACGTGGGGGGTGGTTTCGAAAAAAATTTGTGCAGCTAAGATTTCGTTGAAATCGTTCAATGGATGGTCGGAGATAATTCAAGTTAGCTATCTTTGGTGTGGGAATAAACTTAAGTCCACGGTCTAAGATTGAATGCTGAAGGGGTGTGAGAATTTTGCGGCTCAAGTTAACTACAGTTTGGCCTAGCGGTGGCCTCTCAGTATTTTTATCCCCAGTAATTAGTTTAAAGACTTACTCGATGCTTGAAGCTGGTGTATCCAAAACAAATAAATGCTGTTTGCTGTTTCTGGAGACCAATGAAGATTATCAACTGTTCCGAATTCTTCTTCGTAGGGTGGTAAGATTGTTGCGCTGTTGATACTGGACTCCATCATCATGTTGTTGAGGGTGCTGAGGTTCTGTTGTGCTTTCTTCGAGATTTTATTTGAAATGGGTATACATGTGAAGAGGATCTTGGAGTTTGGGAAGGTTTTGTTGGCTGTGGCGATTAATTTCTGGGCTTGGTTAAAGGAGGTCTTTGGTATCTGATCACGGTTGTTGAGGCCTACATGAAGAATAATGGTATTAGGTTTGGGATCATGGTCGTATGATTCCAGGATTGACTGTATGTGATGGATTTGGGCACCGGGGTAAGAATGTATTTCGGTGTCCGAACTGGTTTTGGTAATTCGATTCAGGTTAGATGATCCAATTATTAAGGTTGATTTCTTTAGAGCAGGTAGTTTCCATAATGATTTGTCCTTGGTTTGGTGATAATACGGTTTGGTAGCGGATATAATGGTCGTCGACGGTGTGATTGGTACTGGTTTGGTAGTTGTTAGAATTGTAGCATTGGGAACGGACTGGGATCTGGTTCGAGGAGGGGAAGGTCTGGATACATGTCTCGACTTGGATGGAGACTGAGGGGTGGTTTGCTGGTCCAAAAACGCACAGAAGGAAGAAAGGTTGGCGGATCCTGGATCACGTGGTGAAGATTCAGATGGTGTGGAAGGGGAAGACGAGTCTAAAAGTGAAAAGGGAAGGGGTGTGCCCTTTCTACGAGAGCGTTTACCTATGTCTGCTGGACTAGGAGTAGGTGAACTTCGGGCTCGTTTAGGGGTTTGGTTCGGCAGCGTGGTAGCTCTAGATGGTGCAGGTGTAGTGTCCATTTCAGTTGGTAGAGATATGGTTACTCTGGTTTTTGTTTCGTTGATTGTTTGGTAGAATTTGGAAATTACAGCTTGAGTGAGACGTTTCCCATAGGAGCGACGGGCCCAGGACAGGGCATGAGAAACGATGCGGTCGACGGCAGGTGATGATAAAGACTTGGTACGAATGGTGGTCAGCTTCTCTTGAAGTGTGGTTTGGTAATGGTCGATAAGGACCTGCGTAACCTTACAGAGCCATGTCCGATTGAGGGATCTAATATTAGACTAGAACACTGACACTAAACTTAACCACACTCATTTTACCCTGTTTAACATTCCATTCGTTGGCATCTAGACAGAAACAATTCCAGAAAATATCTTAGCAAAGAATTGTTCCAAAAATACCCTCATGAAATATTTTCTAAAATAAACCAATACGTTCACTGTTTATTGGTAAAAGATTCAGATTAAATCTTCCTTAGATCTTTTTGATCTTGTTTTGAAATAATCGAACGGCTAATGATGTTATCTTTGTTAAGTTTCACTAATTAAATAATTTAGCTCGGGGTATATTTAGAATGTCTTTCTTGTTTGTTTATATCTCTTACAGATTGTTTATAATTCTTGGCTTTAAAGATCACAGTACAGGTGAGTCGATTCTATTTGTGGTATGGCGTAACCCAACCATGTAACCAAGGAGGAAACATTTAAAACAAACATGTTACCATTATTATGCGATGAAATTTATCGATGGCTTCAGGGAAATAGAACAACTTCAATTCAAAATATCATAAGCATTCAAAACATAACCTTTTGAAATAATATTGAAATATGTCCAGACCTCATAAAATTCAATGTGATACCTGAAGAAGAACTGAAGTAGGTTTTTTGTTATGTTTTTGTAAATGTAGGTTTTAAATATGTCCAGTGTCCACCCTTATTTAAATTTAGGAGTACTGACCTTAGTTTTGTATTAGTATCATATATCCTACGAGAAAATATTTAAATGTACTCTCTTGACAATCTACAAGACGTTGCTACAAGGGTGGTGCATACTGTTTTCATAATATGTATGCTCTCATCTTGGTTATACTGGACTATACCTGTTCCAGGCCATTCTTTCATCTACCTTGTTGACTTAGTAAACCTTACAAAATTCAGATAAAAATTTTAGGTAAAATTTCTTCTAAAGACCGTGATTGTAATTTAGAACCGTGGATTTCACTTAACGAAAAAATACTGCAATACTTTAAATATAATTATGACATTGATTATGGATACTATATCTGAATAAAGTTCAGAAAGTCGATTGCTTCCTGTGAAAGATACTATTCATGTTCTTGTCGACCAGAAAGCTGGTAAAGCTGTGAATGGTCAATCTATGGGAACAAATATCATCTATTTAAAGTCTATCTATACATATGATCGGTCTAGACTCTTCAAATATATATTAACCCGTGTCTATTTACACGACTGCTTATAATTATGAGAAATTAAACCTGCCTTATGAGAATCATCAATTCCTGTTAAGTCATCAGCGGATACCTTTGTTGGTAATCAATTTGAATGTGCCAACCGGAAGTAAAATATGGCAGGAAAATGTATTTTTTTGTAGATTTTAAGCAACAGAACGACAAAGAATACTGAACATTTATTTTAGGTATTGAAAATATGTTTTGTTTCATTGTGTGGAATTGGTATTAAAAATATGTTTTGTTTCATTGTGTGTAATTATATTCCACACAATGAAACAAAACATATTTTCAATACCTAAAATAAATCTCTAAATTATTGACGTCACGAATAATTCTCAAAATTTAATAGTTTCTTTCCATCCTATATTAATTTATATTCCATCATAAGCAATGCACATTTTTGTGCAATATTCGACCTCCGGTTGGTCGGTTAGGATGTATCAACTCTTCATACTTTAAATAAATAAACTAACATTTCGAACAGCAAAACATAACCCGAAATCCAAACATCATATTGGCGAAACATAGTAGTAGTAGCAGCTAATGAGGAAGTATTTAAATCATAAGTAAGTATTTCATAATGAAAAGTGTGTGTAGAGCCGCACCCATCGTAACTGCTTAACATACATAACACATAGGGGAGACCAGGGCTAATACGGCCACATTTTGGAAAATACGCTGCATATAAAAAATTAATGAATAAATCTCGTTATAGTCGTCAGAGTAACAGTTGTGGCAGATGTAACCGACCATGCCGTGGGTATGCGCACACTGTTCGTGTGACCACATTAGACCAGGATTCCATGCAAATCAAACAAAACAGTCCTCCTCTTCTTCACTCTCAGATTCTACGGGTTCTTTGCGAATTGACTTCTTCTTGGGAAAAAGGGACTTTTTAACTGTGTGATTTTTCACACGTTTTCGTATAGAGTTATTTTGTTTCACCCTTCGTTGTTTGTGCTCGGTTCTTAAGTCTTCTCTCTCAGGTGTATCAGTTAAAATACATGTCTTTCTGCGTTTTCTGCTTTAGTAGAGTTGCGTTTCGGAGCTTTTAGGTGTGATTTTATTGTTTCTGGTGAACATGTTTCACCAGAGTTGATTGTTGACATATGTTTGGTATAATAGATTGAGACAAAAATATATCTCACGCGTTGTTGTTGTATTGTTTATCAGCTAAGAATCCATGTACGGCCTCTGATACGTCTATGTCATCCGTCACACAAAAATCTCGATAGAACTCTTCATGATCGCGGACTATTTGATTAACAACGATCCCAAATCATCACTAGTGAACGTCCCAGCCCCTGCTGCATGTAGAGAGGACTGACGGCGTACAGCAGGCATTGACCACCACCTCTTAAAGGTATAATGCAAATGTTATTATTCTGTAGGTAGCGGATCATCACAGTATCGGTATCATCAGATGTTAGCATTGAGATTGTTTCTACATTTCCTTCCGAAATTTACGTCATCACCGAAGATTTTGCTGTTGAATGGAAATATTCCCGTTTTCTCGAAGCCACTGCATATTATGTTTGTCATGGAAAGAATACTTGCATATATGGTATCGGCTTCCCTGGATTGCTTCGTAGCCAGTTGGACTGAGATAACTTCTTCTTCAGAGGAGAGAACACGGAAGGGTTGCAATCAAGAATTCATCCAAGAAATAGTCATTAAAATGCACGCGCGGGTAGAAATGGTGGAATACATTGACCACCTGCTAATACTCCTGCACATAAGGTCACTAACTGCTCTCTTTCTGTTGACGTTTCATGCCTGTACCAACCACTGTTGTCACTCCGGTCTCGTCAACATTCCAAATATTGCAAGCTTTGAATTGGTGTCAGTCCATAACATTGGCTAGATTTCGAAAGAATAAAGGTACATTGGTTCGGTTAAACGCTGTTGCTCTAGCTATACTTGTTGCTTCTGGAGTTCTTATGGACAACCCCTTATGACGCTTTAAGAAGCCAGCTCCTACCATTTCCTTTTCAGACCATGACAATGGCATTTGTATCTCCAAGCGCATTCGAATGTTTAAACTCGGACTTCTCTTGGACTAATTGATCAGTTTCATGATCATCGGTGAATACCTGCCTTGGATTTTGATATCCGTATGACACATTCGATGTCGATTCCCCGGAGACAGACAATTTGTTGTATTTTTTCACATGTAGTGCGAGGTATGTTGAACAAATTCACAGTCTTCAGGTATCCATCAGATGTATCAATGTAATGTTCTAATGTCCTTTCGAATATCATCTGGAGTGGTTATACTTGGGTGTTTTCTTTTATAATTTCGAACCATGATTAAGTTCTTGTATATGCATTCTGAAAGAAAAGTTAGTACTTTATTGATAACATAAAATATAATTCATACATATTACTAGGGGTAAGTTAGGCTAGTGACCAGACAGGTTCGGTTACTGGCCGAACTTGCCCACACCAAAATGACCCATTGCGAACTTTTCCACAAATCACGTGTTATCATATGGCTGGGTCAACTAATTGAGAGTAGGTAAATAAGATAGTCAGAGGCATGAACTTACCTAACTTCATATACAAAGCAATTGATGTTAGTTGAAGTAATCAGACATAAAAATAAGGCGAGAATTTTTACTTACCATGTCAAATATCAAGATTATCGTGATAAAATCAAGGCTAATCAACGTCGGATTGCCATTTTTAACTTTAAACAGTTGGTATGATGACGTCACTCTACCGACAGGCGGCAGTGGTTAACATCAGATTATGGCGCGAGTTATGAATGAGTGACGGACATGCCCGTAGCCGAACTAGCCCCGGTAGCCCTTACTACAAATAGGAACGTACAAACAAAAATATGGTGATTTGATTGATGAATTTTAAAAGTTCAAGGGAGGTAACTGATAACAATACATTTATTTCATCTCAATAGTTGAAAGAAGAGAATTGATCACAAATGTTATATTATGACAAGAAAAACTGTTGCAAACACCCACATCCATGAGGAAGCATATCATAATAAGAAAAAGACACCAAGTGATCAGAAGAATAAGCATACCCTGCCAAGAAACACACCCGCATTTAAGGTTATTCTAGCCTTACAGGAGCAGCATCATTAATTAATTGCTTTGTTATAGGCAGCTTGTCAGACTATGCGTTACATCTGCCTTTTGTTTACGGTTGTTCTTGCCCCAGATTTAATATTTTGTATTGGGCCCTCACACTTTACCCTTGTTAATAAATATATTTGAATATTCACCTAATAACATAAGCACTATATGTAACCTAAGGACAAGGTGCATACAACTGTCGAGTCCCAAACTTAATTTCAAATAACCGACTTTCATTGTAACTGTGATTTTTATAAATGGTAATAAAAAAGACTTGTGACCATAATGTACTCCTAAGTATACATTTCCGTGTAATTCCACCCACTGGCACGTCATCGTCTGAAAGTTGTTTCAATGTAAATCAAGTAAATATCCACCTAGTTCTTAATATCCGAACTTAATTTAATGGAAATGTTTTACTTTATTTAAATCTTTCACAGTAACGTTCGTG